AAAAAAAACCCAAAATAAACAAACATAAACATTCATAACTTACCTACTCAACAGGCTTGCATGAAGGCCCTGTTAGTTGGAGTTAGCCCTTACCTAAGCCTGCAAGTACAGCAATTACTTAGTTAAAATGGAGAGTCAGTATCTGCCATCCCTCCCGATTCCTGAAGGCTCAGATTCATGTGACCTTGGAAATTCATTAAAAGGAGCTAAAGATGTTAGAAATGCAAAATCCTTTCTATAGATCATTTGCTTTGGAAACTTGACTCATAAGCCTCTGGGACTGAAAAACAGGAAACTGAAAGATCACAGGGAAAGTGAAAGAAGATAGTGACTTCTAAATCTATTCAAAAAAAGAGAGAAGGAGTTGAGTGAAGGGATAACTCAGGGATTCCCAGAATGAGTGGAGTTAGAACTTGGGTCCTCGAGGAACCTGTAAGCAGCAGAGAGTAAAACCCACACCCTGGCTCAGGTGGGTAGTTTGCATACGTCCTGGGGGCTGGGGAGAGTAGTCACAGTTCCTGTTGGCTCTAATAGACAGGGCCAAATCCAAGCAGGACTCTACTTTTTCTTTATTTTTTTTTTTAACCCATGGGCCATGAGGCTGATTTCCCCTTTTTCCTTTTTCTTTTTTCTTTTTTTGTTTAAGTAAATGGGCACCACAATGTTTCAGTGGGTCAGGCAAATGCGGTGAGTGTAAAAACTGCATTCTGCAATACACCACATCTAGAATCCAGGGGAGGTGAGTCAGAAGTGGTAGTCATTCTAATTGAACAAGCAGGTCACCATGACAAGTGGCTCACACTGTCAAAACTGTCCACTTAAGTTTCTTTCTTCCTGATGATTAGAGGTCCACGCTGCCGCCAGTGTCCTCGTTGTGTTTTGTGTGAGCCCCATCACAGAATGAGAACTTTCTAGACCTCCAACAACGGCAGGACTCAGCCTTATCTCCCAAATCTTCCATGTGGAAAGCAGTACTCTCTTGGGGTCATCTCTCTGGGTGTGAAAGTTTACCATAGATTTATCTGATGATCTTTAGCATGAAATCTTCCGTTAGCTAGTTAACAGCCGCAGCTGGCCCAGTGGCAAGGGCAACTGCTGTGGTCCACTCAGCCCTCACTGGCCTGGATGTCAGACCCACGGAGCTGTTGCTTGCCAGGCGTGTGCGAGGACACTGAGCCCCGGCGGGCTCCTGCAGACAGTGAGAGTCGGGGTGCGAGAGGCGTCCTGGGCTCTAATTTTGAGAGCTCCTGGGTTGGCCTCAAATTAGGGCTATTTTGACCATCTTCTTTTCTTTTCTTTTTTGAGAGGTTTTTGCTGTAGGGTACTTGCACTCACCAGGACAGAGAGACAGAAAGCAAGAAATTACCCCCTGGGGGGATGGCCACACCGCAGTCCCTTCTCCTCCATTCTTCTCTCGGGATCTTGGGCATAAACACACACGAGCCCGGTGTGAGTTTAGGCCACTGGGTCCAGTACCCGAACCACAGCCGACTACATGGGAGTCCAGCGACATAGCCATTATGCCATCTGCTGGTCCCTTAGCCATCTTCTTTTCACCTGATTGGTGAAGAAGGGATTTTGGGGATGACTGAACATACAACACCCACCACCGGACCGACCAGGTTGGCAGCAAACACCACAGGCGTGCAGGGCCACACAGCAGTTGCCCTCAGAAACAGCGAACAACCAGAGCGGGTGGGAGGCAGACTTCATAGTATCAAAAGGGTGAAGCGCCCTCGTTCCTCAGAAGAAGAGGTGGCTGGCTCATTTAGGCAACCCCGTAGGTTGGCAGGGAACTCAAACCTGTTACTCAGGGGTAGGTCCGTTTGATAAGGGAGGTGTGACTCTGTGACCTTTTCCAAGGGAGGGCTGGGGAGGGGAATTTGTAGTTAGGCCATTCCAGGCCCTCCTGGTTTCACCAGATGGGAAGGCAGCATGTAATTTAAACCTTTATTTTAGGTATTATGTCCCAGGGTGAAACACCTCAGGGCTCGGTGGACGGCCTTTCCTCTCTCTGTTTGGTATACTTCTGCCCTTTCTCTGAAGCTCAGCAAAAGCATTCTCATCCCATCAGCTCAGGACAAGGATACTCCAAAAATCAAGGCCCATCAAAGCGTTTCCTCCTTTCCTCTCACTGCTGGTCTTTCTATGACTTCCCAAGAGGAGAGAAAAGAGAGTTAGTCCAGTTGGCTGCATTTGGGGGGCAAATGTTCCATGAAATAGAGAAAGACTGAAATTAAAATGAAAACTATAACTACCCACCGCTCCTAGTTCATTTTCCACACAGTGATCGCTGATATTTACGAAATTAAATATGACTTTACTAGGCTCCTGCTTAAAATCTTTAATAGCCCTCGACTGGTCGTAGGTAAAGGCAGACTCCTTCCCATGGCCTATAAGGTCTGTGCAGTCTGGCCCCGTCCTGCTGTCCAGCCTCGTCACATGCCTTACTTCCCTCTACTGTCTCTGCCCAGTCACACAGGTCTCCTTCACGTGCTGCAAACCTGCGGTCTAGAACGCACTTCCCTCCCCGTTCACGTTGTTCACTAGTCCCTACCCATCACTTCCTCACGCATTCCTTCCTCTGCGGGACTTCTCCCACAGAGGTCACATTCCTCCTGGCTCTCAGAGCATCATTAGCTTTCTTCATCATGGTGTTCATCACATGTTGCAAGTGTATGTTTGTTTGACATGTCTGATTAATGTCCATCTCCCCATCTCTCCATGAGAGCAGCAGCCTTGTCATTGGCCTCCAGTGAGTGCCTCCATGAATATTTGTTGAATGAATGTATCAGTGAATGAGGTAACTGATTTGGAAATCTTCTGAAAAAAGGAAGTCAAGAAAAGACTTAAAGTATACATCATTTTGTATTATCAAAACAGTCACATAAGAACACTTACATTGCCAAGTTAGAATTAGGAAGAGTGTACACGGTGGCTTCCTCCAGAGAGACCCCAGTTCATGACCAGTCCTCCACGCATCATCCCGTCTACAGCTGGAAAGCAGATCTCTTCCCTCCTGACCGGACACAGAGGAAGCTGATGCTGTGCAGGTGCCATAACAGAAGAATGCGTTTAAGGATATGAAAACAGGTTCCTGCGAGATGCGGCTCTCGTTGCCTTTGGCGACGACATTTTATGCAGTAGACTAAAAATAAGAGTACAAATATGGTCCCTGTTCCCGTAGGAAGCGCCAGACATTTAACGCACAGCTGCATGACACAGCACCCGTCACCCTCGCCCGGAGCCTCTGTGAGAAAGGTGAAGGGAAACAGTAGACAGATCCAGTGACTGCCATTCGGATTCTCATTCCATCTGGGGCCTCAACGAGATGATGGAAGCATGCTAAGAATAAGGCACCGAAAATGAAGGCTTAATACCCAGAGGTCACTAGAATGGAGACCCGTAACAGTTCCATAGAATTCTTGGAGTAAAAAATTTCACTTGCAAAGAAGTCTTATACAATTCACTTTTCAAAAAATATCTCTGAAAGGTAGTAAAAATGAAAGTTAAATCTGGCATAACTAATTCCTGAGTTTAAAGCCAGACTAAACCTAAAAAAAAGGTTAAAAAAAAAAAAAGGGGTTTGGACATGTGTGTGCAAGAGCGCGTGTGCCCCAAAGCCTGAGAGGAGAATGGAGGAGAGGGATTGCGGTGTGGCCATTCCCCTGGGCAGTGCTTTCTCGTCCCCTCCTCCCCCGCCTCTCTCTCTGGTAAGTGCCCCTGCCTTATAGCAAATTTAGAGAAAAGAAAAAGAAAAAATAGGTTTTTATTTGTTATTTTATAGTAGAAAGCTGCTTATTTTTTAAGTATCAAAATGGTAAATCTAGAGTATATTAAAAAACTCACAGATCCTTCATCAATCACAGTATTGAATAGGAGCCTTTAAATTTAAAGTAGTTATTTAGAAAGAGTAGTTATTTAGAAATAGCCAGCTCTAGTGACAAGACCATAGATCCTAAAGCCTGCAACTATTCTCACTCATATACTTAGTGGTCGATGTGTAGAAGAGGTATAAGTTTGGGTTTGGATTGCTTTTTAAGTAGCACTCAGACCACATCAATTCTAACTGGCTGCAAAGTTTAAGAGATTAAAGGCTTAAAAGTGGCCTTTTTAAAAGTTTCTAACAACAGTCACTTCCAGTCATAGAGTTGTGATGAGGATTGGAATCTTTTGGGTAGCTCAGCAATCAGATTTGATAGGTTTAGGGCTGGTCTGATGAGTTACCCAGTTTGGTCTGCGGTCCTCCTAGAACTGTCCAATAGAAACCCAAGGTCTAGAGGGCTCCAGGGATGGTGTGGGCTCCCCATGAACTTTAGAACCATGGAGGTGTGGACTGGTCTATGTCCCTATCCATCAGGCTTACGCTCTGTCCCAGTTTTCTGTCTCTGTGTAACCAACACCCCCAAATCTTAGACACTTCGGATAGCAGTATGGTTCTCTACGTTGACTGGGCCGTTCTCACATTGGGGTATCTCATTCCGTTTCAGTCTTATGTTAATAGGACCTGAATCACCTGAAGGTTTCATCTCTCCTATGTTTGGTGGCTAGGCTTGGATGGCTTGAGAGCTGCAGGTTAGTTGAGCACTCTCCTCTCTACATGTCCGCTTGGGCTTCCTCACAACATGGCAGTATTAGGGTAGTCAGTCTTTTACATGGGACCTGGCTTT